GAAAAAAGACAGAAAGGAAAAAAAAAAAAAAAGAATAAAAAGCAAATTACATGTAGAAAAATTAGTTTCAGAAAAAATGAGGGAAATAACCTGTTTTGGCCTTCTTAAACTGTTGTGGATATTTATTCAGAAGTGAAAATACAGTCTGTTCTTGTATTCTGTCATCTGATACTGTCCAGGCCAAAAAATTTAATCAGATAATAAACTGTGATAACTGATAACATTTAATTTATTTTCCTACCCTTTTTATATAATGGATGCCTGGTTTTTTTTTTTTTTCCTTTTTGTCTTTTTTCGTGACCGGCAATGGATCGCAACCCTCAGTGTCGCGCCCGTACCGGACCGGGACCGGCAACGGGATTGCAACCCTCGGTGCTGCGCCTGCCCCTCGCTCAGCCAGTGAGCGGCCGGTCTGTATGTGGGATCCGAACCCTCTGCGGGAGCGCTGCCGCGCTTCCCAAGCGGCGCACTGTAGCAGTGCGCCACCAGGCCGGCCTATGGATGTCTGTTTTTATACAAGAGGTCTTCAAAAACTTCATGGGAAGATTCATATTATCTTTTAATTCTATTTTTCCATGAACTTTTTGAAGTTCCTTCATATTTCTAATTTTCAGTTCAGTAATTGTAGTAGGACAATTGAAAGAAATTCAGTAATTTAGTATTTCTTTCTGAATTAAGCCTAAATCCTGGAAAACTACTCTTCAAAAAAGTAACAACAAAATACTTTTTTAAAAAAGAATTACAATGACAGACTTCATTCCTACTTGGAATTAGGAATGATTAACATTGATTTATGAATCAGTCAGTATTTATCTAGAGACTATAAAATTCTTCTGTTTCTTAAGTCAAGGGTGTGTGCTCTTTAAGAAAGTTTGAGGCACTCTCACCTTTCACCCTAACAGTCCTAAAACTTAATCATGTAGTCTGTAGCTTGGATGAATGGATAGGTGTACTGATGAAGAAAAAGAGGAATATTAATCCTATTATTAAATGCAAGCATCATCCCCTGAAGTGACAAAGAAGTACAGTCCTAGTAAAAGAGATGACTGGTGTTTCTATTTTTGTCAGTGCAATTGATGGTGAACCATCACAAGGAACAATGGAACTATGTGGTACAAATAATCCCAGCATCTTTTTTATTGTTGATAAAATTTAATATCAGAACCTACTATAGAAGATGCAGATATTAGGCCTTAATCCTCTGAAAATATTCAGCAAGGCAAAGCCATTATATAAAAAGTTTGAAGATAATCCAAAGAATTAATGTTATATGGGATATGTATCTTTCAGAATATTTGGAATACATTCTGTGAACAAGAGTTTGGAGTAATTATCAAAGAAAAAGAGCTTAGGATAGAATCAGAATTAACCACTCACTGACATTCAAATCACTTTTAATAGACTTGAAAAATCTCAGAGGTGATTTTGGTATTAATCTAATGACATCTGATTTAGGATGACATCAATTTTTACAGGTTTTTAGAATGTTTTTGTATAATTGACCTTAACTTATAGCTGAAGAAATTGTGTTCCAAGGAATTCCAGAAGCAGTGGCGAAGCTAAAAAGAGCTAACCCAGAATTCTTTCCACCTCACTTTTCATATGTTTTAAAAGAGTGAGACCTAAATAATTCAGTCACCAATCGTAATTTCTTGAAAAACATTTTCTCAGTATAAGTGGAAATCAAAATACACAGGTAAAGACCTTGAATTGGATGGTCTGGACCAGGTGAGATAGGTTAGCTGATGCCCTTGTCATCTGCCCTTTCTGTGCACCCTGAAAACTCACAACACATGGACTTAGGGGAAGTAAGTAGTGGAAACACATGAACTTAGACAAAGGTCCAGAGACCACAGACACTCCCTAAAGGCTCAACTCTCAGACACCTTCTTTATGCTTCAGTTGAGGGAAGAATCTCAAATGGCTTAGTCCTGTGAGCTACCAAGTCTTAGCTGAGATCAAAGGGACAAGCAGCAGGGATTTCTGCCATTTTGACAATGTAATGGTGTTGTGCCTTAATACAGAGTTGGTTGCTTCTTTCTGGTAAAAAAAAAAAAAAAAAAGCAGTATTTATACAGAAAGAAAAAAAAATGTTGTGGAAACTTCTAATTTTCTGCCGAAGAAAGGAGTTTAGAATACATTAAATGTGGATGAGTTTGCTTATTAGAATATGGATGAAATTTGTAGTTAGGAGTCTACACATGGATATCCATACTCACCAGGCATTAAGGCATTTGGTGAAAACAGATAATGCTACTTGTACATAGTAAATAGTAAAGATTTTCTCTTCGGGTACCTAAATAGGTATGGTTGACAATTCCATCAGGAAAGGAATTGTATACTCAGTGGTTGGCTAGATCCAGGCCCATCTTTATGAGTTCTTTCTGATCCAGGTGATAAATGACCCTTGAGAGACTACTCAGAGCCTGAATTCTGTTAGCTATTTAGATTTCTCAATACTGGCTAGAATTTGTCAAACATACTACAGTGGAGACTGTAGATTTTGTTTAGGGATTTCCATGATACCGAAGGGCTTTCAGAGCACTCTGACAGTCACACACATAGTATAAAAGGGACATCCCTTCCCTATTTCCTTCGATGTGGCTTCTCTCTGTAGTCCAGCATGCTATTTATCTTATCAGGCATTCACAGTCTACATGTTAACTCTGACATGGCTTTGAGTCTTTTTGTGAGTCTGAGATAACCTGAGATGTTTTTCACTGTCAAAAGCCAGGTGAGTTTGCTCCTAGTGATGTGAGGTCCTACAGATCATGAATTAAAGAGAGTGTCGTTAGGTACAAGAAGCATGTATTGATTTTAGGCAAAAGATTGAGATGCACACAGTAATTACAGCACCCTAAAAGACCTCTATATAGGACATATAATGTGCAGTATCAAAATTATCTAAGAATAGAAATTATTTTTGTCAAATGAAACTTAACAAAATGGTGAGAATTTAAGGTTTATTATTAATACATTTCACTGCCTTGTTTTATTAATAAATAGGGTGGGTGATATTTACCCAATAACTTATTTTTGAAGTTGGGAATCTTTTGAGAGAAAAGGAGGATGCTAGGAATAATTATACCATGACACCAAATATAAACCAGGACTAAGGCAAACTGGAACATAGGCTTGTTGCGTATTTATTATTCACCTTCTGGATGATATTGAACTGCTTTTCGTGTTTACAAGTTTAAAAAACAAGCCTCAAGCTTACTTATCTGAAGAGTCCTAGAGTACCTTCGACATAAATTATATACTTAGTTTTTCTTGTGTATGGAGGACATATGTCAGTTATTAAGGTGGGGTACAACTTAAGTCTCTGAGTCAGCTCCTTATTTTCAGCCCCATTAAATGGTGGAGCCTGAATGTGATCATTATGTCTATTCTAAGGCAGTGGTTCTCAAACTAGTGTGAATCACCTGAAAGCCCTGTTAAAACACAGATTGCTGGGCCCCACCCACAGAATTTGATTTGGAGGTGTGGATAGGGCCCAATAATTTGCATTTTTAATAAGTTTCCAGGTAATGCTGCTGCTGCAGGTATAGGGGAACACAGAGAACCTCCAAACTAAGGTATTCACAATGAGCAGATCCCCCAGTTTTATGTTATAAACCAATAATTTGCATTTTTAATAA